CCGCGTCGCAGTGCGCGAGTGTGACGACGACGCGTGGTCCGTCGGCAACGCCCAAAAAGCTCTCGGTGGCCCCGACGCCGCGCAAGCCGCTGGCGACAACGCCGGTCACGCCTCGCAGCACAGAGCAACGCCACGAGCTCGTGGCCAAGCGGCGCGAGGAGAAGGAGCGACGCGAAGCCCAGGCGCGCGAAGAGGCGCTCAGGCAGCGCGAAGAGCGCCGACTCCTCCTTGAAGCCAAGATGCAAGCAGAGAAGGACGCGCGCGCCGAGCTCGTCCGAAAACGCCTCCTCGAACGCGACGACCACGTCCTCAAGCGCCACGTGTAGACCGTACCCCACTTATTTTATTCAACCTAAAACGTCTCTAATAATCCCATTTGTATGATATACTACTTCCAACCACGGCTACGCGATGGCACGCTCGTAGATATAGAACGTGTGCCCCGTGTGCCACGAGACGTCGCCCACCGCGGTGCCAACGAGGTTGAAGCCGTTGCTGCGCGAGAGCCGGTCGGTGTAGTCGAGGACGATGCACGATGTGAGCTCCACGAGCTTGCGCTCGAGCTTGGCCCAGAGCGCTCCGTCCCAACACTGCGACGCCAGCACCAAGAAACGCGTGTGACCCAGCGACGCGGTGAGCATATCGCAGGCTTCAAACGTCACTCGAGGGACGCCGACTGCGAGCTCCTGCGCTTGCTCGACGAGGAACGGGAGGATCTCGACGCCGCGGACGGGGACATCAGCGAGTAGTGCAGTGTAGAGCGCAAGACTCCCCGTCGACGAACCAAAGACCGTGCAGGCTTCGGGGTGCGGCACGGCGCGGATGCGACGGAGCGCCGCAGCGACGACGGGCACCGCTAGGAGGTCGCGCCATGTCGCAAACGACGTCGATCCGTACGCGTACGTGGCGATCGGGTACGTCTCGAGGGCTTCTTGGGCAGCGAGGAGGCTGCGATGAAACTCGCGGGTTGCTTCGAGTGCGCGCAGCGCCCGAATGCAGTCGCGCAGCAACGGCTCCTGGGCGGCGTCAACGCACGCGCCGTCGACGGCAGCCATGTCGCGCGCCATCCGCATGTCACGCTCGCTGTCAAAGAAGGCTGCGCTAGGGCACGTTTGCCGCGTGTGCGCTTCGAAAACGTCTATGGCGTCGCGCACGAGGGCGTCGCAGGCGGCCATGGTGCGCGCAGGGCAGCCATTGGGCCGGCGCAGATCGCTCTCGACACTGGCGCGCACGTAGCGCATGCATCGCAGCAGCTTACGCAGAAGCGGCACCAAGTCAGCCTGCCCAAAGGCGACGTGGCTCATGAACTGGAGCTACACGAGCGTGCTGGCGCCTCGTACGAGAAGAAGCATCGATCGACTACCTGCTGCAGGTACGCTTGGCCGGCGGCGAACATGCAAGATCTTGATTTGACATATCCGGATGCTTGCAACGCAAATGGTGTGCGTTGGGGCCAAAGATCGCAGAACGATGGAACCCAAGCCGTCCGAGAGCGACGGCGCCAAGACGCTGGCCCGCGCAACCAAGATGGTGCAGCTGGCAGCGATGCGAAAGCATGCGCTCAACCGCACGGACGTCTTTAGCCTCCTCCAGGTAGAGACGCCGAAGGCGCAAGATGATGGACCCAGGCATGCGCGATAGGACTGCTTCTCGCCCGAGGCGTCCAACGCGCTCAAGATCCTCGGGTACCGCCTGAGCTACCTCGCTCCATCGTGCATGTCGACGGAGCTGTGGCAGTTCGTCTTGGAGAGCGCTGTGAAGGAGCTCGCGGGCGCTAGTACCCAGGGCTCGGCCCCGACGCTCGTGCATGTGATTCCCGTGTTTGACGTGCTGCCGACGACCACGGTACTGAGCTTTCTTCAGCAAGGCGAGGCAGAGCCTCTCAAGAAGATCCAAGCCTGCGTCGGCCACGAGTCGCTTCTCGTTCGGCAAGTGGCCCTCGGCACGTTCAGTCGCATGACGATTCTCTGCACCAAAGTGCTCTTCGCGCGCGGCCTTGGCCGGTTCCCGTTCGAGTCGAACGAAGCGCGCATCGTAGCGCAGCAAGACGTCACGTCGATTATCAACGACATGTGGAAGATGAACGTCCACGCGGCCGAGGCCGAATGTCCCTCCGTCGCCGCTTGTGCCTTTACGAGCCTTGCGCACCTCTTTGAGCGCAGTCTTGGGATCCAAGAGGTCACCAACTTGGACCTCGACTTGAACGTACGCTGTCACACTTGAGATATGGCACACTTTCATGTCTGTCGTAGCCAGTCCGAGAAGAGCGCGGCGTCGACGAGCTCATCTCGCTCGTCTACCACATGGCCGCACCGCGCTTTGAGTTTCTTCGCGCCAACGCCGAGAAGATGCCGCTGGAAGCCCAATTGGACGCGATGAAGTACCTCGCGATGCTGTCGTACATGATGATGCAGCGCAGCGGCGGCGCGACGCCCGGCCTCGCGATTGCGCTGGTCGAAGTGGATACTGGTACGACCACGCACGCCGTGGATGAAGCACACGAGGTGTACGACAGGGAGTGGCCACGACGATGAGAAAGCGTCGACGACCAAGATGCGCGTCGACGTCATGGTTGGCGAGATGGTCGATGCGTGGCTTCTGCCGGCGTACGGGTACCATACTATCCATTTGTATTGCACCGTGCTGGACGCTTGGTCTAGGAAAGCGTCACTTGTACAAGCCTACACCATCGCCCAAGTCATGTACATCATTATGGCCCACCCGCTGCAAACGTTTTCGCGGCTCAAGTGGTCGTCACTGCTCGTCGCTCGCCTGGCTGCGATGACGCAAGCCGTGTCGTCGGCGGCCATCGTGTCGAGCGTGCAGGACCGCGAACACATGCTGCGTCTCCAAATCGCGCTGCTTCCATCAACCAACACGTACGACTGCCTGCAAGCGCTGCAACCCACGATGGCGTCCATCGCCGGCATCGACGCCTCCGCGTAGGTGCCTCTACGATCGGACTCTCGACTCATCCTTGTGCGCAGGCACCGGCAGCAATTCTTTGCCGACGTCTGGCGCGCCATTGTGCCTCGCCTGTGCCGCAACGGCCAGCTCCCGCTTCTCGAAGCTCTCTGTGCGAGCCCGCTCTTCCACGGCTGTGCTTTTTCCTCGTACATGAAATGCAGTCGGAGAGTGGATGCTCATGGCGAGATAGGCTTCGGGCACCAAGAGCCATGCGTCGAGTCCCGTGCAGCAAACCTCGTATGAGCTCTTCAAGGCACTCGTCGAGAGTCTCTTGACGTCGCAGGACACGCTAGCAGCGCAATGGGTCGTGCTCAAGCAGTTTGCGCCCATCTTGTCGAGCAAAACGCCGTCGGAGCTCCGGCACGCGACGCTTTTGCTCTACACCTGCCTCCTCACGCACGCATGCAGTCTCTCGCGTGACGCGGCGTCGGTCACCTTCCTGCACACGTTTGTTGAGCCATTGGCGTTCAAGGGGTTGCCGTACCCGAACGTGCGCGTCCAGCTTTACTGGCTCTGCTTCAAAGTGCTGCCGCCCAAAACGACCAGCGACATCTTTCTCTCGTGGGTCACTGCCGAGCTCGACCACATGGAAGCCCACAAGGTATTAGTTGCATGTAACACAATGCAAGTGCATTTAGATAGCATAGGACGCCGATGCGCCGCCGCCCACGGCGCTAAGCAACGACGGGCTCTTGGGCCACCCGCCGACGGGCCGACGACCGCTCGCTACGCACGATTTATCTCGTTTCTTTGCCCTCATCCTCTCGTTGAAAGCCGTGTTGGCCCGAGAGCCCGCGTTCAGCCAAGAGGTGCTGCAGGTTCTCGGCCGCGTGCGTCAGCGCCATGCCACGCATCGCGTCATTTGCACCAAGTACGTACTGCTTTGGAGAAAACCCCGATAAGAACGCAGTGGATAGAGTCGACCAAGCGATTCAAGATGTTTCGGGTCTACCGCGCAACCTCGACGCTCTTCCCGTGTGCATTTTGCCCGATCTGTTTCGTGCGTCGGCTTTCTTTCCCCACATGTCGTCGACAGGTGCGAGAATGGTGCACCGTTTGCCTGAAGACAGACGCGTCGCTGTACTAGGCCTGCGTCGCCACCATGTGCCGTCGTCCAGCAGCGTTGGCACCGTTGTGTCTGGGCCCATGGATCCGCTCTGCCTCCAAATCTCGTTCCGCGAGCCGTCCGAAGCGCCCGAGCTTGTGGCGCTAGGCATCACGATCGTCAATGCCAGCACGGTCGCAGTTTCCAACTTTAGGTCGACCTCGTACCGTCTTGACAGTATGGTGACAGACTCTTGTAGCGTTCTCGTTGGCACCAACGGACCCGTGCGGCCCATGGGAACGGCCGATAGCACCCTCGTACGCGTCACGGACGAGCTCAAGCAAAGTGCAAGCATCACGTCGGAGAAGGTGTTTCAGTTCCAACACTTTGCGCGCGCCCGGTTCACCTTTCGCGTTATCTACGAAGGTCCCTCGGAGCGTCAAAGCGGCAGCTGAGATCTGGCGTACTAGGCGAGAATCCGCTGCGCATGGGCCTCAGCGATGCGTACGCGATGCCTTTGGAAGCGCTCTTGCAACGCCCGAGCTCGCGTGACGCTGCCCCCGCGGCGTTCCAGTCGCACTGGCAATCGTACGCGTCATGCTCGAACGTCCTCGAAGTCTGAGGAATCCCACTCGTAGCGCGGCTGCCAACCGCGTCTACAACGTCACAGCCCCTTGTACCTTGGCGGTGCACGACCTCCTTGACGTGCACGACAAGATCGAGCGCATCGATGGGCTCGATCTCGTGACCCCCGAGTGGGCCCAAGTACGCGCACCGAAACTCGACGTGTGGGATTTGTGATATGTCGTAGTTTCACTTTCTCACGACGACCAAGTGGAAAGAGCATGTCCTTCTCGTGCTCTCCGCCGCGCGAGACGACGCGTGGCGCGGAACGTGGGAGGTGCGGGGACCCCCATTGGTTGTCGCCGAGCTTGACAAGAGCCCCAACGAGCTTTTGCGTCTACTGTCGTCCAGCGTCGATGTCGCCGCCGTGCCCGAGAAGCGACCAATCGCGACGAGCCCTCGCCACGGTACTCGTGCGACTCGGAACTGACACCCTCAACACGATGGTAGGTAAAGCCAAGGACCCGCTCTCACCGACAAGCGCGGGCGGACGAGACCAAGTCCGTGACAGCACGCCGACGACGACCCGGCGCGCGCTCCTGAGCTTCTTTGGCGCCAAAGCGCAGTAAACAAAAGTACATGCACCTTGGTCAATGCACAGTCTCTTCGTTGAAGGTGCTTATCGCTGCAGCATGGCTTGGGCCGTGTACTTGAGGCCGACATTGGCAAACGGCTGCTTCTTCTCGTCCGCGGCGGCTTTGCGCGCGTGGAGCTCTGCGGTCCGCGCTGCCCAGTACGCCTACTCAACTCCTTCATCGCTGGATCGTTGTTGGAGCGGACCAAACCTCCTTGTCACGCTGCTTTTGCTTCTCGAGCTCGTCGTGGAGATTGCCGGCGACGGGCTCGCGTCCCTCGATGAGCTCCCGAAGCGTTTGCACCTGCCAAAGCATCCTTATCTTGTACTCCATGTGCACATGGACCGCACCCAGAGATCTCGCAGCTCCATCTGCGTCGCTTCGAGCTCGACGAGCTTGGCGCCGTCGGCCGCGAAGAGAACGATGAGGTGGTCGCCGCTCGCATGCACGTTGGCAATGGACGCGAGCGAGATGACGCAGGGGTCTCTCTTCTTGCCCAAGCGCAGTGTGGCCGACGACGACGAGGTCTCATAGCTCTTGAGCTCGAGGCTAGCAACGTCGTGGTTTCTGGTTGCAGGTCTTTACATGCATGGCTGTTACCACGAGGCGTCCGAGCTGAGCGCGACGTGCACCTTCTCGGCCGTCGGCAAGAGCCCGAGGAAGGACGCGGCCTTGCGCCGGAAGACGTGGCCTTCCTGCAGCAGCGCCTGGCGCTGGCGCTGCTCAAACGACGCGTTACCGCAGCAGTTGTTGCCCATAATTTGTCGAATAAATACTGAAAACCGACAATGTCAATGGCGCGCGCAAGTTGAGTTTAAGTTTCACGCGCAGAGTCGAATTTGCCGGGAGCCACATAGATGAAGATCACCGCGTACTTCGCGGTCCTTGGATGGGCCCTCGCCATGGAGCTCCTCGACTGCGGGCCGACGACGCCACCGACGGCCAGCTGCAACTGCCGGCCAACGACGACGACCCTCGCGCCGACCACCGGCCTCGCCGCCCCTTCCGGCGCCGGGAGCGACGACGGCGCCCCGCGCTCGCCCTTGCCAGCACCCGGAGCGACGACCGCGGTCCCGACGACCACGATCCACGGAGGAACACCTACCACGAGCCCATCGTCGAGCTCGGTGAATGCTACAACACCGATTCCAGGACCCACGACGACGAACAAGACAGCGAGCCCTGGACCGTCCACGACGCGACTGACGCGAGTGCCTGTCCCGACGAAGACACCGACGCCGACGACGACGGTGCCATCAACGACAGGACGCACGAGCCCGGCTCCCCTCACGACAAACATGACGAGCGCTCTTCCGACCCCAAGCATGACGACGACCGTGAACCCTACGTCGTCATCCTTCATGACGACACCCTCGACCTCTCCAGGAGCCACCTCCATGAACCCGACGTCTATGCCTGCCTCGAGCGCTCCGATTCTGCCGAACACAACGACTCCGACGGGAACGATGAGTCCTGGATCGACGTCTAGCGCGCCTCGTCCGAGCACAAACAGCTCGATGGCGCCTCCATCGCTTCCTCCCTCTCCCTCCGAGATCCCCGTCACGAGCGTCAACATGTCTACGGCGACTCCGGCACCAACGACGGCGGTCCTGGCCTCACCTTCCGCAAGCACGACTTCCCCCGTCGTTCCTACGGCCAGCCCTAATGCAACGTCATCACCGCCGAACTCGCCGTCTCCGTCATTGAAGACACCCAGCGTGACTACTACGATGAGCACAACCTTAGCGCCGTCCAGCCCGACGTCGAACGTCACGACCCAGCCGATGCAAACCACTACTGCGCCTTCAGCGGTCGACTTGACACCCGCGGCTACGACGGCAAGCCAAACCAACGCGACGACGCTCATGCCGACAGCGTCTGCGGCACCTGCTCCGACGACAGCAACGTCCACAACTGCAGCGCCGACGAATACTGTCACGACGCAACAGAGCTCGACGACAATCGTTGGGCCGTCGCCTGTCCCTTCTGCAACCGTGCTGGCCTCAGAGTATCCATCATCTGATCCGGTTCATCCGGCGTCAACCTCGAGCTCCCCGCAACCGGGCGCTTCAACTGCGTTGGCGCCCAAGCCGATGGCCTCGACGGCCCCATCGGCTTTGCCTGGAAGCAACCACACCAAGCACTTTTAATCGTTTGATCCAAGAAGCATAAACACGTTGTGCGTTGGACAATTCGTTTTGAGCGCCCACAGATGTTGTTTACACATGCCGGTCCGTGCCATAGGACGCCGAGACACGGACGCGGAGGTTGACGGCCGTGGCACCTCGCATCGGAGGCGTCGTTGGCGTCCAGCCGCTCACGATAGCTTCGATCTCCTGGAGGGACCGACCACATGTCTCGGGCACACAAAAGAGGGTCAAGAGCAGCGCGAGGATGTTCACGGCTGCCATGGCCACGACGCTGCCTTGAAACATCTGCACTGAGTTGGAGATGACGCTAGAGCGCAGACCGTCGAGGACATACGCCGTCACGAGAGCAGTGAGTGACGCAAGGAGCACGACGACGCTCATGCCGGCGATGCGCCGGCGCGCCGGGAACAGCTCGCTCGCAAGAACGACGGGCGTGACTCCTAGACCAATGTAGTGGCCGGCGGTCATGAGCAGCAGCAGTGCCGATCCTGGCTCCTTGACGTTGAGCGTGTCATCGGGCCCGGCTTGGATACGCAACCCGAGGAGAAGGCACGCGGTGAGGATCACGATGAAGGCGCCAACCTTGAGGCACCAGATGCGGCCTTGAGCATCGATGAGCACTGTGGCCGTAAGGACGCCGACGGCAGCCGCGCCCGTGGCCGCACAGCTGAGCAGCATTTGATGCAGGTCGTTCACGTTGAGACCGATGCCGAGAACACCAAACGCGTAGGCGCGCGACGAGGTCGGGTACAAAGTCGGTACAATCAGCGACGACGCGATCGACGAGAGAAGAAAGAGCGCGGCGACGAGTGCGAGGGGTCGGCCAAAGCCGCGTCGAAGGCTCTTGGGGCCCGCGTGGGCCGAGAGCACGTCAGCATGAAGGATCGAGTTGACGCGAACTTCGGCCCGGGACTGCACGAGCGCGTCCGACTGCAGGAGCCGCGTGCAGACGTTAAACGCCGTGATACGGTCGTTGTGGCGTAGAAGGAGCCACGACGGCGAATCCGGCACGAACTGCATGCAGATGAGGAGCAAGAGCCCGGGGATGACGCCGAGGGTCGCCATGATCTTCCACTCGCTCAAGTTGAAGCCGACGTAGACACTGCTGAGGTAAATGAGTACTTGGCCCAAAATCAAGTACAGAAAGCGACCGACGAGACCGAGAAACGTGCAGAGGCAGAGCACGCGGCCTCGACTGTCGTCCTCAGCGAGTTCACCGAGGAAGACAGGCACCACGATCGTAAAGATGGACACGGCCATTCCGAGACAGTAGCGGCCGATGAGAAGCGTGACCTGGCCAAAGGCCACGCCGATGAAAAGCCACCCGAGCACATACGGAATCGCCGCGAGCTCGATCATAGTCGCGCGCCCGAGGTTGTCGGCGAGCTTGAACGTGCAGAGCGCGCCGAGAAGCATGCCGAGCGCGAGCATTTGCTCAAAGAAGAAGGCGGCGTGGTTCACACGGCCCTCAAACATGTCGACTTGGATGTTGTAGAGCCGCGTGGGCGACAGCGGGTACTGGTAGACCCATTCGTTGCAGACCCACGCGCTCGAGAGGATGACCACGAGCACGTAGAAGTACGCGCTGTAGCGGACCGAGCTGGACTTGGTGTCAACGACGGCGGGCTGCCTAGTATCGTCGTGAGCGGCGGCTACGTTGGCAGCATGCATGTACCTCGTGTTGATGGGCGTCGTCTCGGTGGCGTCGTCCGTGTCCGAGCCGGCTGAGTACGACCGCCGGGGCGGCGTCGAGCGGATGTACGTGTGCGGCAGGAACGAGAAGTCGCTGCGACTTGGGTTGCGCATCGCATGGAGCACCTGCTGCCACGACGTGCTCATCGCCGCTCGCCGAGGAAGAGGCAGGATGAAAGCACGCCACGCTCTCGCCGATTGGCTTGTTTCAGCCAATCCAAGTGCTTAAAAAGAGCTTGCAGTTGGCCTGCGTTCCAGCATTTTAGCCAATGACTGCGTATCTTCGGCTGCGATCCAATGCGTCGACACCCCGCTGCGATGACCTGTCCTCAAGAACATAGTTACTGGAGGACATCACGAGCTTATGTTGAGTATCTGTGAGTAGTGAAAGGCGCGCATGTCAAGCTACCGTCAGCTCTAGTCTTGATGGCAAAGCAAGGGCCACTGCGCAAGGTGATATGCCTGTGACAGGCAGGCGCACTTACGAGAGCATCTTACAATATTTTCGTATATCTTGCCAAATAGTGTGCAAACAGATTCAACACTATTACCGATAAATCTTGCGATCAGGAAATAGCCTTACGTTATTTTCGCACCGATGGCGTTCCAGCGGGACGTGCTGCCGCTGCAGCAGCTCGTGCTGAAGTACCTCTCCAAGCGGTATGCGCCCGAGATCATTAGCGACGCGAGCCTCGAGCGCGCGCACAAGATTGCAGACCCCGCGCGGACCAAGACGCACAAGGCCAAGCAGGAGCTCATCCGCGCCGTGTTGCAGACCGGTCGCTTTGGCGACGAGACGCTGCCGACAAGCTTCTTCCATCCGAGCTTGACCAAGATCGAGATCAACGGCGCGCGCATCTCGACCGCGTTCATTGAGCGCATGGCGCGCGTCTGCACCAAGCTGCACGTGGTCAACTTCTCGGGCTGCTTTCGCCTCACGGACGCCTGCATTCGGGTGCTCCTCTCGCACTGCAATGACATCAAGGAGCTCAACATTGAAAACTGCCGCAAGCTCACAGACGATACGCTGCGCGCACTCACCGAGATGTGCCCGAAGCTCCACAGCATTGACATTGGCGGCAACACCAACATGACGCTCGATGGCATCACGGCCTTCGTCGAAAAGCACCCGAACCACTCCAAGTTTCTCAAGCTGCACATCTCAGGCCACGCCGTGACCGACCAGTACCGCACGTCCTAGATGCGCTGGCTTATTCTTTCTCGTTGTAGCACGCTCAAGATCATTGCGGCCAAGTGCAGAAAGCTACAGAGCATCAGTGTCGGCTACTGCGGCGTCTCGGACGATGCGCTCATCGCGCTCCTCCAGCGAAGGGAGTCGCTCGTGAAGCTGTATTTGCACTGGAACACACGTATCACGTACCGCTGCACTGATTGTCAGCCGCAACTCAGGATGATGTAGCGACCGCCTTCTCGACCACCTCGCCCGGCACTGTGCCAACCTCCAGGAGCTCGACATTTGCGGCGTCAAGACCGTCACCAACGACGTACACGCATGCAAAGCAGCGCGCGCCTCTTGATGTTGGTTGCTCCGTAGGCCATTTACGCTTTCTTGCTCGCCAAGATGGACGGGGCCGACGATGGGCAGCGCGACGCCAAGCGCCTCAAGCGCGTCGACTTCAAGTACACCAAGTACGCGCGTATTGTCGATCCGATTTCCGTGTATTGATGATGGTTGCTGCAACTAGTATTTCTAAGGAGGTGCTCGCCCACACCCACGAGATGTACCCGGACCTCGACGTCGTCTCGTGATCACTCGTCTTCGTCCTCGTAATATACATCCATGGCCCCGCCCGTCTGTTCGTCGGCGTCCATGCTCGTGCACAGCTGGATCGCAGTCTGGAGGCGCACCGTCATGATCTCGAGGCTCGAGTACGCGGGCAGTTCGAGGTTGAAGAAGCCTACAAGGCGAATGAGCACCAAACAGCATGCAATACTTTTCAGCGTACAGGTATCGGCCTTGGGCAAGAGCGAGTCTTGGGGCGCGCTCGACGTCGGCGGTGGCTTGATGAGAAGCCGCGTGTGCGTCCGGTCAAACTCGGCGTCGTCCGACGGCAAGGACTCTTGGCCCCACGCAAAGTTGATGAACCGCCGCTTGTCGGCCTCCGAGAACCCGAGCAGCGCCGTCCAAAAGAACTCCAAATGCGCGTGCGTCTCGCAGGTCATGCCGCCCGCGTACTTGGTGTGGCGCTACATAAAAGATGCACATAAGCTCCCAAATCCGATTGCCCTACCTTGAGCAAGGCCACGTCAATGTTCTGGCTGCCGCAAATGTGCTGTCGCAGCTCGACCCACGTGTAGAGCGAGATGAGCGTCAGCGGCACGATCTTGGAGACACCTTTGAGCATCGCGTCCACTTGCGCTTGGCACTCGTACAGCCGCGCTTGCGTCGCCAGGGCCACAAAGTCGGCCCAATTGGCCTAGTATACATCCTGTCAGATGTACTCGGTGCGTCGTTCGTACGGCAGTGACGGCCACGGACGCGCCTTGAGGCACGAGGTCCACACTACTGCCGTCGGAGAGCGTCGTTGTCATCGTGAGGCCTTGGTCCAGCAACGGCGGCGACGTTAGCAGCTCGTAGACTGCAACATCCACGAGCTTGAGGTCGTGCAAAGTCGGTGTTTCGTGCACAAAGAGCTTCCAAATAAGCGGTGCGACGCGCAGCGGAAGGTGCACGCCCGTGCGGAGGCAGCAGCCCATAAGAACACCCACAAATTCATACTGCGAGAGCGCCATGGTCGACGTCTTGGCGGGCACCGGCAGCACGCAGTCGCGCAGCTCGCCCGTCTGCATGCGTCCGTTCGGCGTTGGCTCGAACAGGCCAAGTCGGATGCACTCGTACGACATGTCGCTAAAGAGCTGGCGGTACGGCCCGCCGTCGCCGACCACGTGCTCGCCCGCAAACGTGACGCCGAACGCGATGAACGGGTCGGACGCGCCGAGCGGCCGCTTGGCCCGGAGTGCGGTCGCCGGCACCTTCTCCAGCTGGTGGCGCGTGCTCTCAAAGAGCGAGATAAGCTCGGGGTGCTGCTTCCACTTGAGCCGGTCAAGCACGACGGTCGGGCGCTTGCTCTGCGTCTCGGACGTGCTCGTATTGTCGTGGACGATGGCACTTAGCTTGATCTTGACATGCGGAAAAAGCAGCTTGCGCGCGGCGCAGATGCGCTTGGCGAGCACGGGGCCCTTGAGATCGATGAGGGGTAGTGTCTCGAGCAGCAACCAGTTCCACTCTTGCAGGAGCGCAAAGCGGAGACGAAGCTCCCACAGCGACACCTTGAGCTCCGCTGCACTGCACAGGTGGCTCGGCGAGAGCTCACAGAGTGTGAGCAGCCCCAGGCGCCGGCACTGCGTCATCGCAAGCTCCAGCAGCTGGACGTCCATGGCCAACGTCCACTTGGACTGCGCCGCGACCGCCTTTTCGATCGATGTCGTGTGGCTGCAGTTGCCTTCGAGATCGAGCCCCGACGCCCGCATGCTTTCGTAGATTTGCCGCGCGGAGGCCGGCGTCGCGCCTCTTTCCGCAAGCACGTGCGCCAAAAAGTCGGCCATGCGCGGGTCGCGGTCGTCGCCAGCGTCGTACGAGTCTTGGAACCGCAGCGCCGAAACAAAGTGGCACGCGGCAGCCGGCACCTCGACGTCACTCGTCGCAATAGGCTCGCTCGAAGGCTCCATCGCAGCCGGACGCACTTGGTCACACGCCATGTCGCAGACACAGCAGTGCGTATTGTCCCATGCGTTCAAAAACGTGCACGCGGGGCAGGTCCAGCCGTCGATGGTTTCTTCGACCGGTGCCGGCGACGACGAAGATGGCGGCACTGCGCGGGGCGACTCGCAAGCGATGCACGCGGCCGAGTCGTCGCAGTTGTCGCACGTGCACACGGGGCAAACCCACATGGTCGACGCTGGCGCTGCCTCGGGCGTTGGTGCCGGGGCGCCAGTCGTCTCGGCCAAGTACGCCATGAGCGCTGCGTCTTCCTCGGTTGGGTCCCCTTCAAAGACGAGCGGCTGCTTGAGGATGCACTGCTGCAGCTTGGGCACAATGTCGTCGCGCCCGACATCCAGGACGCAGTAGCCCTTTGTAAACCCGTTTGCATCCACGGGGCAGTAGAGCACGCGCGCGAGGATGCCAAACCGAACCGTCTCGGTGGCCGAGTACATGCCTATACCGGGTATCTGTTGTTAGATAACAACCATGCGGAGTGGACTCGTACTCGGATCATCGGCTTCGCCGCAGCACTCTTGTAGCGCAATGTGCGTGAGCCACTTGGTGACCGCTGCGATGAGCTGCTCGAGGTCGCGCGTGCGCGGCAGCTTTTGCAGCAGCAACAAGCGCGACGTACACAAGTCGACGCGCTGAAGCTTCTCGGCGAGCGCGCGGACTTCGGCTGTCGGGACGCGACCGGGTCCATCGGACGCGAGCGACGCAGCAAAGGCGGCGACACGCGCAAACTTGCTTAGGACCGGCACGGACGACGTGTGGGGCAAGGTCGACAGCAGCTCTGTGAGTTGCTGCGTATACGTTGAGAACATGGCGTTCGTGCTCTCTTTGGCGTACGCGACCTCGTACTGCGCGAGCCACTGCTTCACGAGCGAGCTCGCGACCGTTGTCGTCGGCGACATCCACGGCACGAGGGACCGGAACGCGACTTGCTCGAGGAGCGGCGGCACTTGCATCGCGCTTAGAAACGACGCCCAGCAGCTGACGAGCGGCATCGGCGGCACGGACGGCAGCTGCTGCAAGACACGGCCTAGCCACGTGGCGAGGCCAAACGCTTTCGAGAGGCCGTCGACGCGCAGCTTGTAGCGCGCGTACTCGGCGGCCTGCGTGCGGAGATAGCACGTATTGCCTTGGACGACGAGAGGCGGGAGGTTGGTGAGGCCGCGGCGCCCGCCATAGTAGACGCGCACCACCCGCGTGCACTCGGCGTCGTAATATACTTGCAAACTCGCCCCCGCCGGCAGGTCCATGAGCACGGGATGCACAAAAAACGTAAGCAGCAAGTAGCTTGCGCCCGGCAGCGACAAGCACACTAGCGGCTCGGGCGGCGAGCTGCTCGTGACGAGGAACGACCCGACGCGCGACACTTCGAGCGACGCGCTGAGACTCGCGGTGAGGTGCGTGATCAAGTCGGTGGGCGTCGGCGTCGGCGGTGTCGCCACCTTCTTGCTGCCGACGGGCTTGACGGTCGCACTGAGACTTGCGTGCTGCAGCAAAAGGACTTTTTGCAGCGGATGGTCGCGCGGCGGCGCTGTCCACGCCGGAAGATCCGTGGCCGCCACGTCCAAAAGCGTCGCGAGCGGAAAGCCTTGGCCCAGAGTTGCCCACGATACGTACTCGGGGCTCTGCGACACAATGGTCCACACGGCGCGCCGTGCGACGGCCGCGATGGATACTTGTAGAGCCGCCACAAAGCGCGTTGAGACGGCCGGCGTCAAGAGCGACCGACTCGGCTCGCTGCCGTCGCCGGCTTGGAGCTGCGAGACGTGGAACCAATAGTGCTCCAGTTGCCCAGCACTTGGGTTGTAGAGCTGCAGGAGCGCGAGTTTCTTGGTCGCCTCGATCGTGCAGAGGCTGCCCGTTTGGCCAAGGCACCACGCCATCGCCGGCACGAGCGGGTCCGAGAGCGACTGCACAATGTAGCGTCCGCCAACGACAAGGTCGTCCATCTGCAGCGCCTTCCAGTCCGTCTCCGTGTCGGGAAAGACGCAACCTGGCGGTACGTGGCCGTCGCAGAGCGTGTGTGCGATCTGGCGCGCGGCCGCCATGTTGCCTTCGCGCAGCGGCTCTCGGAGCTGGGCGAAAAAGTAGTCCATTTCGTACGACTTGAACGAGCCGCGGACGTATTTCTGGATCGCGGGAATCACGTAGCGCTCCCAATAGTCGAGGAGCTTGTTGCGCCCCGGGTGCACCGGGAGAACGTCGGCCACGTCAGCGTACGCGTACACATTGTACCAGTACATCGGCCGCTCGTCGCCGTCGTCCTAATTACGACGACTGAGTATAAAGGGACAAAGAACGATTCGAGACACCTCTTGGAGCCGCGTCTCGTCGGTGAGCGCGAGGGGGATCGAGGCGCGCTTGCGACACGGCCCGAGCGCCACAACGTGGTGCAGCCCCCGATCAAATGTCCACGCCTACACGGCCGTAGTGAGCGTCGGTGTCGCATAAAGAAGTCGCACCAAGCGATGCGCGGCGGCGAGGTGCTCGTTGACAAACTCAGTGCGTTGGGACGACGGCTGTGCGAGTTGCAGCAACGCGTGTGGCATCGAGCCGTACGCCGCGATGGCTTGGTTGTCGAGCACGGACGGCCAGAACGGCAGGAGCGCCGAGATCGCGTGGAGCGTGCGCTGGGCCAATTCGTGCCCGAGGGCGTCGTCGCCTCGCACCACCGACACAACGTCCTGCGCCGCGCTGGCCAGTGCACCAATCGCGTCCTCGAGCACATCGGCCATCGGCTGGTTCAGTGGCACCTCGGGCACAACGACCAGCGAGGCGAGCGGGACGTTGGTCTCGACGCGAGACCCAAAGGCGACGGTGGCCGTATCGACGCCAACGTGCTGAAGGCAGCCGCGCGCATCGTGTAGCGTCACATAGCCGCCGACGCGCACCGGTTCGTCCATGCCGCCGAGAAGTGCGAGCGCTCCGATCGCTTCGAAGTACGACGGCCCGAGCTTCGGGTCACGCAGGAGCCGCGCGATGGGTCGGAGGCTCTGAAGCACAACGTCCTTGACGGTCGCATGCGTTGCCCACGGTCGAGCAAGCGCGACAATTTCGGACGCCATCTCGAGCGCGTACTTGCACGAATCCAGCACCACCGGCGGGGGCGCGGCCCGGTTCAAGACGAAGGCATCCGTGGCATCGAGTGTCTGCCACGCATCGAGCTGCGACTGGGGCGCCCGGCCCGCGAGAAAGGTCGTCGACAACGTTTGGATCGCATCCAGGAGCGCGTCGGCTTCCGAGACCGAGACGTTCGCGACAAGGACGACGTGGCCTTTCCGCATTAGTTCCGAGAGAAGCGCCGACGCTTTCCACACGTGTGTGCCGACGAGCGCCATATCGGGCACAAGCGCAACGGCAGCGGTCGACGCCCGGGGTGGAAGCAGATCGCCGGCGCCCGCAACGTCAGCAAAGCGCAAAAATGCGTGGTCGACGTCGTGTGTCTTGGCGAGGTAGCACCCCGCGCAAAGATCGTAGTTGGGACAAATCGAGCACTTGAAGCGGTACCCGACGACCGGGCTTTGGTTGCACCCGTCGCAGCGCACATTCCTACGCAACATTGTAGACGTACGTGGGCGATCAACACAATGACGTACCGGTGCACGATCGACGCATCTTTCATGAGCTCCTCCTGCTTGGCCGTGCTATCGACGTCGACAATGACATCCCAGGACGCGACGCGGGGCGGCTGGATCTTGTCGTGAAGTGCGCCAACGAGCTCGACCAGCGCGTCACTGCTATCGTTGTTCCAGTAGAGCACGACACCAAACGTCGTGTCGACAAGAGTGCTCTCATCGGACGCTGACGCGAGACGTCGCCCCAGCAGTTGTAGCAGCCGACGCACAACAGCAGGCGGCGGCACCACGCAGAGATGCTTGAGAATCCGACAGGCGGTCATTTGCACACGCGGCGCGCTCTGTGACGACACGAGATGCTCCAGAAGCGCAGGCACGAGCCAGGACGGCGGCGGCGATTTGTCGGTCAACGTGAGCGCTTCAAGGATCCCGAGAACGCGGCCGGCGTCCGCAGTTCCCGTCACGAGTGCCTCGCAATCTTCGATGGACGCTCCCGTGACAAAGACGTGACGCAGCGCAAGCCACTGCACATCGCGCAGCTGCTTGATGAACGCAACGCGCTCAAGTTCCACGGGCGCGGCCGCGGGCCACATTGCATCACTCGTCGCGTCAGCGCTCATCGGCGTCTCGGCGAGCACATCGAGGAGGACACGACGGAGCGACGGCGTCGCCAGCAGCACAAGGTCTGTGCACATGAGCACCTTGTCGGCAAAGGGCGTCGACGGCGCGCCAATCTTGGTCAGCAGCACGCGCTGCAGTCGCTGCCACCTAGTCCCATGCATGATATCACGACGAAAATCCACGCTTGCCCAACGTACTGCTCCAGGACCGCGGCCCGGCTTTCGGCGCTGCCCAGTTCACAACCCGAGAGCATCGACTCGCGCGAAGTCGCGAGGGCCGTTGCAAGTCGACCTGTAAAGAAGCGTTGCGTACTCGGACTCTGAACGCTCGTCAGCAGACGCTCAATCACGCCGAGGGAGTCCCTATGCCGCAAGCGTTGCATCGCAGAAAGGATTGAAGACAAAGACGTACCGGCGACGCGCCGCGAGTGCTTCGTGCGCGACCTTGGCGTCGGCGACGTTGATCGCGTCGGAAGGAAATTGCAGCAATGCGAGGATCGCATCCAGCGCTGCGTCATCCAGCACCATGTCCTCTCCCGAAGCGTCGTACACTGGGAGCTGCAGCAAAGCGAGGGCTCGAGCGCGAACCCGTTCGACAAGCGGCACCAGCGGTACGACGCCAGCAGCCTTTGCTTCTTCGAGGTGCTCAAAGAGCGCGGCAGGCGTCCGCGTCCGACACGACTGCAGCACGCAGAGCTCGTTCAAGAGCGTGTCGTTGCCTCCGAGACGCTCGAGAAAATCGTCGCGCGACAAGGGCGACTCGAGCCACGCCTGCCACTCGTTCTCGAGCTGCGATTGCCGCAGCACCCACCGCTGAAAGCTCGCGAGGCGTCCAATCGCACGCCGCATCGTACGCTCGCAGTCCGTCGCGTTGACCAAAAGAGCCAGACATGCAAGCACCATCGCGTGCCATTCGCTCTGGGGCTTGAGCGAGATCGGACCGAAGCGCGATTGGAGTGACGCAAGGCCACCGGCCGCCTCTTGCGTCAATAACCATGCATACTGACCGTGCGATGCTCGGAGCGGCCCAAGCGCTTCTAGCAGAACGCTTGGCAAGGCCACGGTCTCAGATCTCAGACCCGAAAACGCCACGAGGCTGCAAAGGTGCGCGACAGCGTGCTGCAGCGCGAGGGCCGATGGAAGACCGAGCTCGTAGTACGCGTCCACAGTCGCCTTGAAGCCGTATCGCTGCTTCTCTTGGCCAAGATGGTCGCGGGGGTGGGTGGCCGCGCAGAGAAAGACACTGGCGCAGTCGCCGCCGACGCTCAGCGCTGGCCAGCGCGCACTGTGCCCGGACGCAAAGACACCATCGAGTGCGTCGTCGGCACGGACGCGGTCAAGAGCGACGTGGGCGTTGGGCGTCACCAACACAAAGTCGCTGCTGCTGATCGTCTTGGAGTGCGCGTCAAAGCGCCAGCGCAGCGCCGACGCGCCAGGCGCCGACACGGTTTTCCGGAACGTCGGAATCCCGACGCCGTACGGGTGCGAGCTCTCGACCGTGTCGACGTACGAAAAGAAGCCACTGCGCTGGGCGGCACGGAACGCGAGCTCGGCTGCTTGGCATGCTGCGTCGTCGGCGGTGGCCGAATCGAGCGCTATCAGCAGCGCTTGGAGCGCGGGAAAGAGCTCGCGCGCCTTCGTAAGAGAGATCGATGCCAGCAACAGCGGCAGCAGCGTCCCCACAATCGAGCTATCGAGGTCTGCAAGCCCATGCTGCTTCAAGTGACAAAGACAGTGGTCCAAGAGCGCTGAGAGGATACCACGGGGGGCGTCGTTGGCGTGTAGTGCCCACGCGAGCGTTGAAAACAGCACGCGCTGTGCCGGTGACATGCTCGGCATCGTGGACCGCACAATGTGCTCGGCTTCTCGGCGATCCAGCGCGAGGATCTGCAGCAGCCAATCCATGGACGCGCTCTGGAAGAGACGCGCGAGGAGGCGCGTCGACGCAGCGACCGTTCGAAAGATGCTGCCAAGGAAGCTCACGATCGCGTCATTGGGCGTAGCAAACGCGTCGACGGGACGCCCGAGCGGCGTCAGCGCCATGAAGGACCAGTACGTCGCATCGAGGTGCACCGAAGTCGCCAACGAACCGACAAGCGACTGCAATGCGTCAGGCGTCTGGAAGAAGAGGCCGTGCACGAGGCCCCAGAGAAGCGCTCGCTGGGCCAACCGAACGCGGGTCTGCGTGGTTTCGCTATCAAAGGCATCGCATGTCGTGTTGCCGCGAACGATGGCTAATAGCAGCGCCTCGAGGTGCGGCAGATGCACATCATCAAGCGGGACATTGGCCGGCATGTGTTCCTCGAGCGTCCCGACGAGCAAGTAAAGCCATGCGTTGATGAGCGCTCCGTCGCATTGCGCATCAACTGCGAGGCAGAGGTAGGTGCCAAGGCCGGCGATCGGCGTCTTGTCCAAGACAAACGGGACCATGTACCCTGCGGCTGCGTCGGCGGGCATGCCGCCAAAGCGAGCAAGGAGCTTCTTGAGCTGACGGCGCTTGGCTTTCGACGTTGTCGGATTCGCGCTCAGTATCTGCACGTGTAGCTCCAGCGTCGCCCGGGCGTGTTGCATCGGTGGCACGACCGTACGAATGCCCATAATGCGCGTGAGGTGCGACAATACCGCGCATCCGACGTCACGTCCGGTCTCGAACGTTGTCGGCGCCGCCAGCTCGGGTGCCACGTGCTCCATGTTCATGTACTCCATGAGCGCATGGCTGCTGGTCGAGTACGCAAGCAGTCGGTCGCGTGCGCGGTCATAAGCCATGGGTGACCCCGCCGCAATGTCCGAGACGGGCGTGAGGTCGCCGAGGGCCGCACCATCCGAGAGCGCAAAGAGCAAGACAGCATCACCTTGGCGATGGGATGCACGTCGTCCGAGGAGCCGCTTCTTTCCATTGTCGCCGCAGAGGCCGCCGGGAAGAACGATGCCGAGCTGCGTCCCCGTCGTATAAAAAGAGCCGGCCAGAAGCACGACCGGATCCAACGCCGCGACCGCACTGTCGAGCGAGAACGAACGCACCATCGAGATGACGCGGGGCTCGCGCAGATACGACTCTCCCGACGATTGGAGCCACTCGTGCGCGGCGGTCAGATCGTATTCGTGCTTGACGAGTGCGATCTTGCACTCGATCGTGCTAAAGCAACCTTGCCACGCGGCTTCGAGCTCGTGCACGAGTCGGTCGCGGTCGCCAACGGCATCGACGGCGAAGAACGTGTCGTCTACACATGCCAAACATGTCAACCATGATCGACATAATAGGGCGTATACTACCTTCAAGCGCGAACGGAAGCATATCGTCGACGTCAAGAAGCGGCGGGCCCTCGAGCACAAGCGTCGACGTGAGGCAGTGCCGGCAGAGGTCATAGTCGCAGCCGTCCATGCACCGAAAGCGCGGGATCGACTGCCCGCAACAGCCTTCGGTACCGCCGTCGCACATCCAATCCGAACTCGCAAGACACTCTTTTTACCATGTGCGGATGCAACGATGTCTTGATGGCCGGCGGTGCCGACAGCGCATCCTCGAAATCCAATGGTTTTCTGGTCTTTTTTCCGCACCCATCATCGACACCATATTTCGGCTTCACTCACATCGACGAGGCGCTGGAGCGTCGACACGTCGTACTGCGCGACGACGAGCGGCGGCGGCGAGGCACTCAGCGACGGCGCCAACGCCGCGAGCAGCGGCGACGCATAGTCAGTTATCGGGCGCACGAGCGGCGTGTGCGCAATGATGCGACCGTCGGCATCTTCGACGACGATCTGAATATCAAAGCAGCTCTCGGCACCCCACCGGTACGTGTTCATGCGTTGGTTCTTGTCCCAGCGCACGGTGATCCCGCTGCCTTTGATGCCGCCCCACGTCGAGATGCGCTCGACGGTCCCGACGCTGCCTGGCTCACCATCTTGGTTGGACCACTTCCAGTCGGGACCACGCACGACACGGTTCCCGACGGCAATCGGGTTGAGGTCGACTAGACACCATCATGATGTAGCACATCAAGAGACTTGAGAACGAACGTACCGATCTGCAGCGCCTTTTCCGACTTGCGTTTCGCGTGCTTGGACCGGTGCAGCGTCGGCGGCATGGGCGATTTGTGCGCCTGCAGCGGGTCTTTGCACGTGATGGCGTAGAGGTAGTCGCCTTGCGACACGAGCGCGTAGACGCTGCTTGGCGTCACGCCGTCTTTGGCCGCGCAGAGCAAAAGCGGCGCAATATGGGCGAGGTCGAGACTGATGCGGTCGATGCACAGACCCGGCATGGTGATCGTGCGGCAGTACAAGTGGTCGCCCACGAGGCACAGCCACGAGCGCTCGACGTCGGCGCCGCGCACGTACTCGTGGTTCCGCGCATACACTACGTTGCGGAGCGTGTCGCCGGCGCCCGTCCCGACCTTGAGCAAGCCCGCACGGCAAAAGATGTACAAGAACCGCCCGTCACTTGCAAACGCATCGCGCATCGACAGCATCGACGCGTCGATGGACCACGACCCGACGAGACACCGGGGCACGGGCAGCGCGAGGCGCGGGAACTCACGGTTCGGGCTCGCGTTGCTGTCATTGTTTGGAAAGTGCGCGAGGGGACGCAATATCTGCTGCAGCAAATCGCGGTCGTCGACTGTCGAGAGGGCGACGAGGTCGCAGGACGACCCGAGGTGGAGCATCGTACAGGCCACAAACTGGAGGAGCGACGACGACTGCAGGTGCACGGCCAGCGCGAGCAGCACGAGCATCGCGTGCCACGTCGCACGACTCCATGTCTGAGGCGCGTTCGTTAAAGGCTCGTACGGGTAGCGCATCGTAACGCCGCAGGCCGTCATGTACGCGCAGACGTCGGTGATAAAGGCGTCGAGGTCGATGGCTTCGTAGCGCAGGGCCCCCGGTGGAAGCGCAAGGAGCTTGGTCGCGCATTGCAGCTGCAGGTCGTGCGTCGCGTCGAGGGATCGGTCCCACGCCTGCACGTCCTTTCCCGGCACATGCGGCCACTCCCTGGGATGGATTTCGTCAAAGTAGACGTCAACACTGGGCCCGGACGGAGCGTCGTCATGTGGCGGCGCCGTCTCCTTGGCTTCGGCCCATTTGCGCTTGCGCATGTGCACCCAGTCTTGCTCCTTGCTCAGGGCGGTCGCAAATTCTCGGAGCGTCGCAAGCGTCTCGTCCGGCGTCGTCTCGCGGTACCAGCGGCTCGGCTCGGCCGCATGGAAGGACGAGACCCGATGGGCAGGAGTCTTGGTCGGCAGCGTCTTGCCTGGCAGCGGCTCCTGCTCGGTCCCCGTCAAGGCGACGCGGTCCCCGAAGAGCCCGAGGAGCCGGCTAAGCTCGCAGTCGTCCATCACGAGCTTGAGCTTTTGGCAAGAATGTGGCCGGCGACGTTTTTATTTATTAAAATTATGCTTGATATCTGCGTTTTTATAGTCGGATATGCGCAATCGAATTCCAGAGGATCCTCTGCGTGGGGCGTCCTGGTATGGCAACACCTCCGAGGACGCGCGCGGCGATGGCTCCGTCCGTGGGGTGGTGGGAGCTTGGCGGTATGCGCTGGTAGTGTCTGCTTGGTCCTGCTCCAAAAACACGGAAGTATAGTGTATTTACGGCCAATTACGGGATTTCATGATTGCTGTGTCACGTCGCCGGTTGTGGGACAGGAAGCACGTCGGTCGGCGGACCGACACCGACGACGTCCCCGCTGTCCATGAGCACGACGCGGTCGTAGCGCCGCGCCGCCTCCATGTGCTGCGTCATGACGAGAACTGTGGCGCTAGCAAAGCTCTCGGCGAGCATTCTCTGGAGCGTGGCCTCGATCTCTGGCGACGCCTCGTCGACAACGAGGATCTTGGCCTGGCGCAAGATGGCGCGTGCGAGGCAGAGCAGTTGCCTTTCGCCGAGCGAGAAGACATGGTCGCCATCGATCGGCGTATTGAGGCCAATGCTTTGAACTGCGCCTGCCAACGCGACGCGGTCCAGGGCGGTCCAGATCATTGTGTGGTCCAGGTACACGCTGTCGGGGTCGAGGAACCCGCGCACTGTTGCATGCAGCCACGTCGGATATTGGGGCACGATCGCCATCGACTGCCGCAGCGACGTGATGTCCACATCGCCCACGTCGACGTCGTCGATGGAGACGCGGCCGTCGACGAGCGCATACAGGCGGAAGAGGGCGAACGCCATGCACGACTTGCCAGCGCCGGGACGCCCAAGAAACGCGATCGTTTCGCCGCCAGCAATTACGAGCGAGACGTGGTTGAGAACGGCGGGGTCGTTGGGCTTGTACGAGAGGGCGACGTGGTCGAACGTGATGCGGCCGTTGGGGAACCAAAAGGTCGTCCTCGCCTCACGTGCCACCTGCTCTTGCTCGACCTGCGCCGCGAGAAGGAGCCGCTCGGGCGCGCCCATCCACGTCTCGACGGCAGCAAGCATATGCACGATGCAGTCCAAGTGCACGGGCAGCGCGAGGCTGTACGTGATGAGGAGGCCGATGACGGACGGCGCGTACTCGCCGCGGACGCTCACGGCGCCAAGCAGCAGTGTCGCTTGCAGCCCGGCCGCGACGAGCTGCAATTGCAACGACGTCCGCGCATGAATCACAATCGTCGCAAAGCGGGCTTGGGCAAACGCCTCGATCTTCTCGTGGTGGAGGTGGTAGAAGCGCAGGAGTTGCTTGTTGCCGTACGCGCGGATCGTGACGCTGCCTTCGACGCAGGCGGCGACGAGCGTGCTCAAGGGCGCTTGTGTTTGCTGTAAAAGTCGCTGGAGCTCGCGCACCGGTAAGATGGCGTCGCGTGCAATTTGCCAGAGCGCAATGGTCCATGGCAGGAGGAGAATGCCGAGCACTTGGAGCAACGCGATCGCTGCCAACAGCGTCGCGCACAGCGTCGATGCGAACACGAGGATCGGGGCCAGCGCATACAGCATGTGGACATCACAAATGTACATGTCGTCCCGGAACCGATTTAAAAGGCGGCGAAGCGGGTAGCTGTCAAAGAACGCCAGTGGCGCCCGCAAGGCGCGATGCAGAAGATGCCGAAAGAGGCGTGTGGCAGCATTGCGCGCCAGCACGAGGACGAGGTAGGCTTGTGCGCTTATGCAGCACACACTCGTCAGCAAAAGCCCACAGTAGACAACCACGGGTAGCTCGCGCCCGCCGATGCCCAACGTATACAGCTGCTGCGACAGCCACGTGTCCGTGCCGTCCAAAGGGAAGGCCACTTGGGTGAGCCAGAGGTCACTGGCGACGCGGAAGAGCTGCGCAAGCAGTATGCATACGACAAGTGCCACACCGCATCCGTGACGCCAATTCAAGTACGCGCCGACGACAGACGATGGCACGCGCCGGTGGGGGCTCCGCAGTCCGTCGTCGTCAATGAAAAGCACAAGGCTACGTTGCACCTGCGTCGCTTCATCAATGAACGCGACGCGTTTCTCCTTTGGCGTAAACACGTAGGCCGCGGACGTGGCGGCCATCGGCGTCAGCTCGACTTGTGGCACGAGCAGCGGTGGCGATGCCATGGGACCCGACGGCACGCGCCGCAGCGGCGTCGGAAGCGGCGGCGACGACACAACGTCCAAATTCGCGTGGTCTTTCGGGCCCTTCTTGCGCCGGATCGGTGACTTGGGTAGCTTTTCACGCGCAGTGTTGAGCGCGGTCGTGACGCTGCCATCGTCGGCGACGCAGATGGTCGCGTCAATGTATTTGGAGCCTACGATCTCGGAGTCGTTCGAGACGAGAAGGAGCGTCTTGTGCAACAGGACACCGAGAAAGCAGTGCCGAAAGATGTGGCCTGCCACGTTGGCGTCCATGGCCGCGAGAACATGGTCGACGAGGTAGATATCTGCGTCGCTGTAGCACGCGCGGGCGAGGCTGATGCGCGCCTCTTGGGCTGGCGTGAGCACGACCGTCTTGGCGCTCGGCCCTTGCAGCACGGGCTCGGTGCGGTCGCCGAGCGGGAAGGTTAGGAAGTCCATATTGAGCGCGCACGCGTCGATGACGCGCTGGTACTTGGCCCGGTCGTACGCCTTGCCAAAGAGAATGTTTTCGCGAATGCTGAGAAGGCGCTGGACCCACGGTGTTTGGGCCACGTACGCGATCGAGCCACCGAGAAACACCGTGCCCGATGCCTTGTGCATCTCGCCAAGAATCGCAGCGCAGAGCGACGACGTGCCACGCGCACCGTGGACGACGACAAAGTCCCCACGCGTGACGCGCAGCCGGACCTTGCTCAAGACACTTGGCGCGTCGCGATGCCAATGGAACGTCCCGTCATGGATTGCAATGACCGTGTGATCGCGCGCGTACTTGGCCGCGTTGCGATCGGCCACGGTGACGACGTTGGTGTCATCGACCTGCTCGACGAGCAGCACCGACTGCATGCTCTGGAGCGCGCGCACGGCGAGGACGGTGGACTGCACAGTCTCCAGAAGGAGTGCACATGGCGCCTGCAGGAGGTACACCAGCGCCAAAGTCGGAAAGACCAATGTCGCGGGCCAGTGGCCCGGTGACAGGATCGAGTGGGCGACAAAGATCGCGAGGACTATGAGGGCCGGGGCACAGGTCCTGTGTATGCATCGTTTCAACACATTTACATGCAAGCAAAAGGACGTACAAGAGGGTGCTCGAGAGCCAGAGATATCGGAGGTGCCGCGAAAGCGCGGCTTCTTCGGCGTCGCGGAGCTGCAGCACGGCTCGCTCACACGCATTTTCCCAGCCATTCCACTTGACCATTTCCATGTTGGAGAAGACCTTGTGGAGCTCTTTCATGCGGGCGTTGACGTGCTGCGAGTGCGCGGCGCTGTGGGCCGTCGCGCCATAACACACCGTCACAAGGCCGTAGAGTACAAGCAGCGCGCACGCAACGGCGATGCCAGCATACAGCGCCGAGCCTACCGAGTAGTAGAGAAGACCCACGCCCACGGCAATGTGGAGTGGCAGCAACCACAACCGGTGCACGAGCAAGGCCACGTCCGCGACTTGCATGACTTCGGTCGAGAACGTCGTCGGGCTCAGCTCCTGTGCCCAGACGGCGTAGCTCGTGTGCATGCCCAGCGCCTTCTCAAAGAGCATGTGCCGGAGCGCCGACGTCAAGTGGATGCCGACGACCGCGTTCTGAAACACCAAGTGCGCCCGCGCTAGGGCCTTGACGATGTACGTGAGCACGAGGCTGCCGCCATAGAGCAGCAGCGTCTGCGTCTTGTACGGCGTTGCAAGCGTCTGCAGAATGAGGTAGAGAAGCACGGGCGGCGCGAGATCGGCGACCGTCGCGAGCAGCTTCAAGACGCCAATCAAGGCAAAGCGCTTTCCGAAGACTGCAAAGAACGCCTTCACAATGCTTTGGCCATGCGTGTGGTACTCGGCGTCAAAGTCGGCAGCCGCAGCGTGCACCTTGTTCGAAGCTTGAAGTGGCCACAAGTCCGACGCTTCGAGCGGGCGCGTGTTGGCGAGCGGCACCAGCGGGGCTGCCCACGAGAAGAGCAGCGTGGCGGCCCAGCTGGCCGCCTCCAGCGGGTGCGTCGCCGCCGCCTTCTCGACGTCCGCAAAGGTCTGGTACTTGGTCGACTGGTGCCCGAGCATGCCACTTGTGCACCCGACGCAACGACGAGCTCTGCCAACGGCAAAGCGACGCGCCAAAATTCGAGCATGTGTGAAACTTGCCGTGGGAAATGCATTGTTCACGCGTGAAGAATACGTGGCGGTTGCGTGCAGTCTAATTTGGTCATCGGTTGCAGCAGCATGCTGGCGACGACGAGCGTCGGGTCGACCACGGCCGTGTGCTCGCTCTCGGACCAGGTCAAGAAGTACAAGGCGCGGTCCATCACGGAGGACCACCATCTGCAGCATGCCGACAGCAGCAACAAGCGAGGCAAGCCGCGCCGCGTCATGGACAGCCTCGTCATCCTCTGCGTCAAGGTGCTCACGGCGCAGTTTAGCACGAAAGCGAATCCGATGCATGGCATTCCCGCCAAGTTCTTACCGGAAGTGACGCAGCGCCTTCCGTTGGACCTGCCGCTGACGGCGACCGCGCCCCATATCCACGACGAGAACTTTTGGAAGCGCTGCTGCTTGCACCATCCGGGCTGGACCAACCTCCAGATCTCGCTGCATGGCCTGACGTGGAAGCAACTCTACATGGGTACGTCACGTGGCGAGGCTACAGCAATGCAACGTGCATCATCTAGAACGCACGATCCAAGAGGCGCTCGAGGGCTTTGACCCGACCGACGCATCGACGACGTACGCCGACCTCCTCCAGAATATCCGGGCGTGCGCGCCGTACATCTTCTCGCTTGACATTGACCAGCTCCTCTCGCACATTGACGTGCATGAAGTCTTCCAGTGCCTCCCGAACCTCACGAAGCTCAAGCTCTCATACGGCGTCAAGCAGATTGGAATGAAGTACGAGCGCATGCTTTTTGGCATGAAGATCTCGGACGCGACCGCGCTCTCGCATGCGATCAAAGCGACGATCACGCTCTCGACGCTGCTGTTGCCGAGCAACCTCTTGGACGACGACCTCCTACGGATGCTTATGACGGGTCTCATCAAGAACGCGACAGTCACGACGCTCGACCTCTCGCACAACAAGCTCACCAACCACGGTGCCCGGCTTCTCGCCAAGCTCCTCGTGCCCACTTCGGTACGTCGACGATCGAGGTATTTCTCGTTACGAGTCAATTTTCGGTACTAGGTCATTTCGAGCTTGAACTTGTGCGACAACCAGATCCACGCCGAGGGCGGACGGTACCTCGCACGCGGCCTCAAGTGCAACACGAGTCTTGTCGAGCTCAACTTGCGCCTAAACCGGCTCACGGACGAAGGCGGGAAGCTCCTCCTCGAAGGGCTCGTGGGTCATCGATCGCTCACGATTTTGAACTTGAGCAGCAACGCACTCGGGCGCGAGACCGCTGAAGCGCTCTGCGGCCTCCTCTTGGACCCCGAGTGTCCACTGACGATCATCGACCTCAGCGGCAACGCCATGACCGAAGGCGACGCGACCGCGCTTTATGAAGGCATCGAGCGCAACCTCAAGGTCGTGACGCTCGACCTGCGCCAGAACGAGATCCCAAAAGACGCGACCGTCCTCGTGCACATTGCGCAGATCATTCGTCGCAACGAGCTTGACGGTCGCCACGCATGAGGCTCGTACATCATCATCATCATCCCATCAGCAGAAAACCATCATAGTCCATTGAAAGAAACACGACGCCAAAACCGACCGAGGTGGACGGCTACTACATGCTCTCGTTGTGGTCACCGACGTGCTCGTGACTGTCCGACGCGATGTGGATGCGCCAGCCCGAGGGCGACGCGGGCACGATGCGGATGTGAAAGGGGCACATAGCGTCCTTGGTGCAGACCACGGCAAGCACGCTGCGGCCTTTTACGTCCTGGAAGAGACGGCTGGTTGCAACTAGGACGTTCTGCGCTGCACACCACTGCAGTACGGCGCCGAGGCACTCAGCCTTGCTCAAGTACGGCCCGAGTGGTACGGCAACGGCGTGATTGTGCACGAGGTTGCCAGGGTACAGCCGCCATTGTTCGTCGTTTGCACTGTGATGGAGGAAGACAAACCACGGGCAGTTGCACTGGCACGATAGCATGTAGCTCGTCCCTGTCGACGCAGCTGGGTTGAAGACGACGGCGAAGCCGCGCAGTCGGCACCAGTCGTCGATCTCGGTCTCGGCGACGAGCGGGTTTGCCCATGGTCCGCGCGGCATGGAGCTGTAGAACGAGTAGGTAGGCGGTGCATTCGGGGACGGAACGTGGTGGTTGTGCTGAGAAAGCGATCGCACAATGCGCCAGCGCTGCGACGTCGTGTTGACTTTCATCTCGATGGTCCACGGACAGTGTGTCGAGGCCATGCCGCCATGACCGACCAAAAACGCGGCTTGGCGCGTGCAGCACTGAAACGTCGTTCCGACATGCACCTCGGCCACATACTGCTTCCCGACAGCCGTGGCGCCGACGCCGTTCGCAATGAGAAACGAGTTGAGCGTCGCCATGCATTCGTCGTGGTCGACAAATTGCATGTCGAAGATCGAGACGTAGGATTGCTCCTTCCACGCATCTGTCGTCTTGAACTTCTTGGGTGGAGCCCGAGGGTAGTCCATGACGGCGTGCGCTGCGATCGGGACCTATGTTGCAGTCGGTCATGCAACGCCGCAGCACGACAATGCTACCACAAGGGGCTCGAGCTTGACGTCGGGTTTGGCGTTGCCGTCGACGGTTCGCTTCTTGCTCTTGCCGCTGCTAGTGGTACCGCTTGGTCGTGCGCTAGCGGGGCTCTACGCGCAGCCATCAGTGGAGCGTACAGGGCGAGGGAGTACGGACCTGCGCTGTCGGCTGAGGCGGTAGCGCCTGGAGCGCCGGCCGACGGCTCGAGGCGTCTGCCTTCGGTCCCATGGGGCTCTTCCCATGCATCGGCCGCGATCCCGGCGGGCAGTTCTCCTTGTCCAGCGTGTTCTCGTCCATGCTTGCAGTGATGTCGGCCTGGAAGATCGCAAAATGACCACCGGCTTCCAAAGATCGCCACTCCAACATTTAATAGTCCATGCATACGATTTCAGAGGTTTTTCAGGATTTCCCGCCAAATGCGGGAGATATCCTCACCGTCGTTGGATCTCAGGTCAGATGAGTGTATAGTATACCTCAGGCTTGCGCGCTAAGCGTGATATTGACTATTAATGCATTAGGGCAATACGACTAGGGCAGAGTGGAGATGTGCGAACGCCATCTTGGCGCAAGAAGACCCCATGCGCATAGTGTATTTCATTACAAGTGTCGACGCTAGGACCACCTTGCACGACCGAGAGTCCTTTCTAATCAATGGTGTAGGCCAGCACTAATAGCCAAAGCATTCTGATGCAAAAGACTTGAGCCCTGCTTTTACCATACAATTATTGTAGGAGGAAGCAAGTGCAAGTGACCTCATTTGTAAACTGTTCTACCATGATGACGACGACCCCGATGCTTGGTTTCCTTGCGATTTACACTTCCTACTGGCCGTGCTCGTCCGCACCCTCGATGCACCGCATCCTTCTCGGCCTCCGCCCTTTTGCCTACAACCTCTTGACTGCTGCCAAGGCAGCGTACGACACCCAGCTCCGTCTGTTGCTTGAGAGTGTCCAGACCATCGAGGCGCTGCAGACGACAGTCGCCACCAAAGACACCACCATTGGCGACCTCGGAGTTGCTGACCTCCATGAAGCCGCGCGGGTCCAGCGCGTCGCGGCAGCCGAGATCCGCGCCGATCTCAAGGTCCAAGTACATACAGTAATATGAAGATCCGGCTCCACCGCACGAAGGAGCGCCTCCCCAAAGCACCAAGCAGTCAGCAGTTGCGATGTTTGCTGCTCGACATCAAGATGCTTTTCGGCTTAAGTCTAGGGTCGCTTGGGAGCCGGACTTTCCGCACCTCAGCTCCCTCTACTAGGCATGAAGGCGTGCTATGTGTTGCTCCACTTGTCGACGTTAGTTTGCGTATATTCGGCTGCAGGCAGGACGGGATTGTCGTGCCGAGTGTATCCGGACATTCTTATCCGGACAAGATCGACATCACGGTGCGCGCTCATCGAGGCGGATCGACTTCTGAAGTTTATCATAGAGTCTCATGCTTCGTTCTATATGTACAGAGCATGACGCAGGGAGTCCAAAAACCAAAGAATCGTGCTCATAGCGCACCTACAACGTGCGCGATGTGACATTCATGTTGTTGAGAACTGATACTGAGCTCAGTATCGATGTATCAATGTATCGGTATGTATACACTCACACAGCGCATATCGCACGTTGTAGATGCGCTACGAGCACGATTCCTTGGTTTTTGGACTCCCTGTGTCATACTCTATACATATAGAACGAAACACGAGACTCCATCAAAAACTTCAAAAGTCGATCCGCCTCATCTGAGCGTGCACCATGCTGTCGATCTTGTCCGGATAATAATGTCCGGATACAATTGGGCTTGTGAGGAGACGCAGAGATGCTGAGCGGCTCTGCGAGCAAGCGCTTCGATATCGGATTCGTATGATGGGACTAGCGAGAAAGACGAGTTCTTGTACACCAAGCGTTTGGATTTGCGGCATGATCTACCACTCTCTGTATGGGTTGCCGCGCGGGTGTGGCAACGTTAAATGGTTCTGGGTCTGCACTGTGTTTGGATGCAGTGTCCTTGTTGCACGTGCTTTCCATAGTCTAGTCGTAGCCCATTTCTCGGATGGATAGATATATCCTGATGGGTTCGGAGAGGGTGAAAGGCTTGCAAGGCGCTGCAGTCAGCAGTTGCAACGATTGCTGCCAAAGACACTACGATTACCGAGCTCAATGCCCAAGTCGCTGCGATGCACGAAGCTGCTCGGGTTCAGTGCGTGGCAGCAATAGAGACCAGTACTGACCTCAAGGTTGCATTGCACAATATCAAGATCCAGCTCCACCGCACCGAGGAGCTCGTGTAGCGCGACATGACCGAGCTCCGCACCGCGTCCAGCACGCTCCGATCCACCGCACCGAGGAGCGCGACAGAGTGATGACCTCGACCGCTGCCGTGTCCAAGATACGACCGGCGCACACCCAACACGAGAAGGCTATCAAGGGTCTCGCTGCAGCGGCCACACTGCTCTGCAACACTTGCCCACTGTCGACGAAAGCACGAAATGGAGATGGCATCGGCCGCCAAACACACCCAGATCCAGCTGTTTCAGTCCAAACGAGTCCTTGCAGCGGTCGCCCAAGAAGCCATCACGGCTCAAAATGTGCTGCGTGACGTGACGGCCGAGCGCGACGCGATGGTTGCTTCCAACTCGCTTTCGAGCTTGAAGCGCGGATTCGGACGCTGGAGGCCGCTCTGGCTGCCGCCAAAGCGAGCCGCGTAATCGGTGGTGAAGCCCACGCGGTGGTCACAAGCGTCTTTGGAGCAAGACAGGAGCACCGAGTCCGGGCGAGGAATCAGGAGTGAAGCTGCAGCGCGACCGCGCCTCAGCGACCTCAAGGCCCAACGCGGGCTAGGAAGTACACGAGTAGTTTCTTTTGACGAAAGACAAGATAGTGTAGATAGTGTAGATAGATAGATAGATAGATAGATAGATAGATAGATAGATAGATAGATAGATAGATAGATAGATAGATAGATAGATAGAAAGTTACTCGGTAGTTAGCTCGCTAGTTGTGCTTTGTCGATGTGGTGATAGAACTATCAACCATTTCTCGTTGTGGCGCACTGCGATCATCGGTCTTTGCATCGACCTCACTCACGAGGTCGTCATATATTACAAATTGAAGATCAGTATTAAAATCACGATTAAATTTTGAATATTAATACATGTATATTGAATCTTCAATATTCCATATTGATCAGGAAGATGACCGAGGACGACCGCTACATGCGCCTCGCGATCGCCGAAGCGCATCGGTCGCCGCCGGTTGAGAGTGCGTTCTGCGTCGGCTGCGTCATCGTCCAGGACGGCCGCGTCCTCGCGACGGGCTTCTCGAGGGAGTTGCCTGGCAACACGCATGCGGTGAGCCATTCATCGCTGTCCTTTCGCCGCCTCATGGGAACTGGTAGGAGCAATGCGCGCTGCTCAAGCTGCAGATGCAGGCGAGCGGGTCAACTCTCTACACTACGATGGAGCCGTGCAGCGTGCGCCTCTCGGGCAATAAGCCGTGCGTCGAGAGCTGCATCGAGGCCGGCGTCGCCCGCGTCGTCGTCGGCGCCATGGAGCCAAGCACATTCGTGACATGCAAGGGCGTCCAGCTGCTGCGCGACCACGGAATCCAAGTCGACCTTCTCGTTGGTCTTGAAGCCGACTGCTTGGCCCCGAACCGCCACCTCGATTTAGCTTAGCGTTTCTAAACGGCCAGAGCCAAATAAACATGGAAGAAGTCAACCAAGAGTCGAGCGACGGCGGCGTCGTGCACGCCCACGTCCAGTTCGCCGAGGCCGCGGCCAATGGCTCCAAGACCATGGTGCGCTTCGCCTGCTTCCATCCTTCTCCTCATGTCATGACAGGTCGAATTCCTCCTCGACAATGGCGCCGACATTGACGCGCCTGGACGCGGTCCGAGCACACATGAGCATGCGTGGGAGGTTGACATCGATGTAGATGGAACGACGCCGCTCTGCGCCGCGGCGCTTTGGGGCAACGAAACGATGGTCAAGTTTCTCCTCGCGCGCGGCGCCCGCGTCTCGGCCCGCAACGACGGTCGGTCCTGCGACCTCGCTCCTTGCATGTAAACGGTGGATCCATGTTTAGGTACGGCGTGGACGGCGCTGCACGCAGCGGCGTTCCAAGAGCACGGCAAGGTCGTGCGCATCCTTTTGGACGCCGACGCTGATCCATACGCTCGCGACGCCGAGGGCCGGACGCCCACCGACTATGCGAGCATCTCGGAGGCGATCTGGGCTTTCTTTGCCGGTATGCGTACTGCCTGCACACGTCATCTTGCATCACAGCACGTGGCAGCGCGCGGGTGCGAGAAGAGCCTCAAGTCGGACCTCGTCGGGAAAGGCATCATCCGCAAGGTCGCGCAGGACCAGCCCGAGCTCGGCAACGACCATGTACTACGCACTCCACCGTCCGTGTACCAAGTCGCGGACACGTGCGTCGAATTTTCTCGGCCAGGGTCCTCGTACCAGCGCACCCAGTTCAACCCGCTCCAATCCAGCAAGCCCAAGGTACGATGCACATTCTGAATCCGATCGCATCTCAGATGTGCATCTAGTCGCGCGACGGACGATCCAGCAGCTTTGTGGATCCGCTCGGGTCGACCAAGCTGCCGCCGACCGCGCGCCGTCCGTCGCTCAACGGCTTTGCCCTTTAAGACGTAATAAAACAAGCGACGCCTGCTTACGACTCGTCGCGGAGGTTATCGAGGCAGAGGCGAAGAGCGTTGCGATAGACCAGAGTCGCGTGCGAGGCCACCTTGGTCTTGGACGACACGAGGAGGCGTCGCTCGATAAAGCTCGGGTCCAACAGCACGTTGCCCGTCCCGTCAATCGACACTTCCCGACCGACGTGCTCGTAGAGTCCCCACTACCGATGCCATTAGACGAGGCTTCGAGTGAAGACGGACGTACAAACCGCGGAATCCCGGCCACGAGGTCGCCGTCGAAGACGACGCGGAAGCTCTCGGGCACTGTCCGGTTGTACTGGCGCACAAACGCGGGGTTGCCGACGCGCGGACCGCCGAAATTGTACATGGACACGCGCGAGGCCGCAAAATGCGCCGCAATGTCGTAGGCGGCGAGCACGGCGAGCGCACCGCCCATGCTGTGCCCCGTGACGTACACATGCAGGTACGGGTCGTCCTGCAGCACGAGGCGCAGCGTCTCCTTGAGATCGTCGCGCACCGCAGCATACGCTTTCCAAAAACCTACGCATAAGGTCAACCTCAACGTGTACGCGACGAGATCGCACCGCTGTGTACGCGTGGCAGCGCGAGGTTGAGGAGCGGAATGCGTCCGGCGCAGAGCTGGAGTCGCTCCTTGCAGCTTCTGCGGCGACGGTGCTTGCCGCGCGCACCCATTGCATGCATCCAGAGCGGCACTTGGTGGAATCGGAGGTTCGTCTTCCAGTGCGCCTTGCTCACCGAGCCGCGGAACGCCACGACCAGCTGCTGCGTCTCGCGGTTGATGCACACAAGCGCGTGCGTGTCGACGAGGTCGTGCCGGAGGTGCGCAATGAGCTCAAAGCCAAAGGTTTCGAGCGTTTGGACGCCGGCACCCGACGACGACGGGTTGCCGACCGGGTCAAAGTACGCTTGCCACGCCAGTTGCACGAGCCACTCGGCTGTCTCGAGGCAAAAGACGTGCCCGTCGTGCTGGTGTTTTTCGTGTACGTAAAAGGCCGTCGACTGGAAGAGGGATGACGTCGCTGTGATGGGCGGAGCGGGCAAATGCACCCAGAGCATGAGCGACACAAAGACGGCGAAGAAGATGACGAACGAGAGCTGCGGCATGTCGTTGCCCATCGCGCCCAGCACGACGATGCACGCGCGTCGGAGCGACGCCATGGACGCACTGCCTTCGGCCGACACGACGGCCGCGATGAGCTGCCCCGCATGGACGAGGGACGCGAGCAAGAGTTGCACCAATAAAAGCACCGACTCGAAGAGCAGGAAGCGGAAGCTCAGTTGCTCGTGGCGCGACAGCATGTACACAAACGTTTGCAGCGTCGCGGCGGTCTCGAGCGCCGTCTGCACCACCCACGCGAGCCAGTACCAGTTGAGAAGAAGGAGCGAGATGCCCAGCGCAATGTACGCCGTCTCGGCCTCGGGCTCGTGGCCGGGCGAGAGCGACGGCAGCCGCAAGATGCTTTGGCTCGTCTGGAGACTGCCAAACAGCAGCACGAAGAGGACCTTGGGCCAGACGCGGGTCGCAACCGACGCCGGGTGGCCGAGCATGAAGAGCCACAGGCCGCGGAAGCACGCGTTGGCCCACGCTTGGACGACATTGGCGCTGAGTCGCGTTGCGTTCGAGACGTCACCAAACCATTGGGCGACGACGAACACGGGGTTCTGCCACAGCACGAGGACGCAAAGTACCCAGAAGAGCTGCGACTGAATGCGAAGCCGCGGCGACGGCACGGCTCGGACCCAGTACGGAAGCGCGCCCAGCGAGAGTAGCAGCAACGCGGTGCGCACGACGAGCTGGCTCACGACCACGGCCGGTTTCCTATACAAAAGAGTTAGCTTGGAGCACCCGACAGAGGCGTACGTGTAGCTGAAGGCGTACTGCACGTCGCGCGCAAAGAGGTGGGGGTAGTAGCCGTCGAAGACGACAAGAACGAGGTACGAGCCGTATCCGTTGCCTCCCTATACGCATGCGTGTCAAGTTCGCGTCATCCAGGACGAAGCGTACGAGGCCTTCGTTGGCCTGTGAGATATCAAAAAGCGGCGCGGCGTCGCACGCAATCTCTGCACAGTGCAACCAGAGGCTCTGGTTCGCGAGGCTGAAGATGGGTTTGTGTGCACCATGCTCGGTGAACGGGAAGCGCCCACCGTAAACGGACACGTCGTACTCGAGCACGAAACTCGGCTCGTGCTGCGTGAGGTTCGCCGGTAGAATACTCAGCTGCATCGAGCCTGCCAACCACGAGACATTGCTCACGTTGGCCGCATACCATGCGTTAGCTGTGTGGTAGTCGATGTATGTGCATGGTGTGTCGATCGGCGTCGTTGGTTGACACACATCGCCGGGCAAATTGATCGTCTACACAGGACGCGATGAGGGCAGGTAGCGATACATCGCGTACGGTCCGGAGGTACGCATCACTGTACAAGTACGCCATGACCAAGGCCACGCAGAAAGAGACGTACGAGGCGGCCAGCACGATCGTGGCCGCGCGCGAACCCAGCGTTTCGAGTCGCAGGCGTGGCGCCGATGGTCCGTGCAGGTAGGCATCCTCGAGTCGCCCATCGTCGTCTGCGTCGTTGCGGTGGCGGCGCTTCCGCTGCGCGTCGTCGAGAAGCAGCTGGGACGACGCGTAGCCCCTCGTTGCGAAGAGCAGCGGGCGATGCACGACGTCGTCCATGTCCAAGCCCCGCTCCATGATGGCGCTGCCGCCGATATATCTTTCTCTCAGGAAGACCAAGCTCTCGAATCCGGATAACAAACATCCGGCGATTCGCACGCGTTTAAACCAAGCGAGGCCTGCGTTTAACGCAACTTCAACTGCCGTGCGACCGAGTTGTACAAAGGTAACAAGAAGCAGCGAGGGACTAGACTAATATATTATACTATGTGGGTTAAATAGAGCTACGGGGCTCGATGCGCTCGTACAACAAAAGGTACGCGGACGTTGCCGTCTCGTGCAGCATTTGCGTCTGGCTCAGCGTCGTGATCTGCGTGTCGTTGTATCTGAGCCAGAGCGACGTCGCGTTGGTGAGCGACAGCCGCGTGTACGCGAGGTAGTGCCCGGCCGCGACCGAGCTCCCCGTGTGTGCGCAGACCGCGTAGAGCTGGTACTCGCACGGCGACTGCTGCGAAAAGAGGTACGGCGTCATGTTGAGCCGCTGGACGGGAAAGATGACGGTCGCGCTGTTCTTGGCCATCAAACCATATCGGTTGCACGTGAAGCGCTTGAGCTGGAGCACGAGGCGCTTCGGTATGCGCATGAAGAGCGTTTGGATGCGGTGCCCGGTTTTCCGGTCGCAGCGTTCGCAAAAGACAGCGTCCTCGGCGCAAAGGTCTTCGACCTGCTTGAACGCGGCGAGGCAGCTGTCGAGGGACATGGCTGCAGTCGACGAGTGGAGCCCGAGCGGCACGACGCTATCGAATATGAAGTCGCGTCGTTGCGATGATATTTATCAAGGGGGCATACGTGGTGGTCGTGAGACGGCAGGAGAGAATGTTGCAGGAGACGCACGTCGAGCCTTCGACGAGCTGGCCCATGAAATCGCGCGTCACGAACGATCGGTTGCGGCGGAGAAACTCGTCCCATGCGAGGCTCGCCAAGTGCTCTAAAGAGCGTAGATGAGGATAGTGCGTCTCAGAGAAGATGGACGCGCGTACGGAGTGGAGCGCTGTATGTACTCGCGTCGTGTGACGAGCACCGTTGCAGTACATTGCAGAGCGCGTGGGTCGCAGCAGAGAGCGCGTGCTCATCTTGGGGGCTCAAGGACGCCGTGGGTGCTTGCACGACGCCGCGAATGAGCTCGAGCAGATACGACAAGCACTCTTCGGCGTCTTGTTGGCCTTGTCGCCGAGGCAGGTCAATCCATGTCACGCCAATGCTTCGTAATGCATCGATCAAGCCCAAGGCAAGAAGGTCCAGCGTCGCGCCCTTGCCTTCCTTGAGCATGTGCGTGACATTAAGCAAGACAGCAACGCATCGCTCGCGGGGCGTCAACGTGCGTCTGGGCGTCGACAGTGGGCGAAATGCATTCGCAAGCGACGCTCGAAAGTCGGGTGTGCGTACCAAGCAGTGCAGTGTCGCATTGAGGAAGCAGTAGTTCGACTCGTTCGTCAGCGTGGCGTCGGCCGGATTCGTCTCGTCATCGACGGCGATCGGTCGTTGCGGAGTAGGCGGGACATCTTCACTTGCGTCGTTAGCGAGGTCGACGATCGGAGGCTTGGCGCACGGTGCTGCCCGTGGCGGCCGGTGGCTCGTCGCTCGGGGCAGGTGATCGAGCAGCTGCGCCTGCATCTTGGTCACCTGCAGGATGCAGTAGGTGGCCATCTTGGCGAGGTTGTAGTTGTGGTAGGCGAGGTAGCAGTAGAGGCTCACGAGACAGAGCGACGGCCACAGCATCGGGCCGTCGGGTGTTCTTCAAAATGGCAACCCGGGCTCGGATTGGCCCGTTTGGAAGGATAAATACACCCAACCAGTAGGCCCACGCCCTCGTTGCAATGTCAAAGTGCCATGCACCGCCGCACTCACCTCTAGGTTTCTTTCTGCACTGGTACGTGTAGGATAGATAGCTACTGTTCCAGTGGCGCTGGCCGCACCAAGTTGGCGCATCACGCACAAGAAACCAACAGCAGGTGGCGTGTGTTTAGACATGTGAGCGTGATTCGCTATTCCGCTACATAACGTATCGGCGCGCCAAGCAGCAGCTCCATCTTTACGAGGCCGACGTGTAGAAGTGACGGCGCTGGTAGTAGAGCAAGCCGTTGTCGATGGCAAACTGGATGAGGCGGCCAAGGACGGGCACGGGCTGCGTAGCGTTGGCCACCTAATCCCACGCAGTTGATTGATCGGACCATGGCATCGCAGTCGAAGCGTACGCTGTCGGCGAGGGGGTTGGTGACGCTTGAGAAGAGCGGGTTCCGGAGCAAATACAAAAAGAGACACATCTGCACCGAGCATGAGGACAGACGAAAAGGACGCGGCGATGTGTACCTTGCGTCGGCGGAACTCTTCCGTGACGGCCGGCGTTGCCTTTGTCGGCGCCTCGGCCGACGAGCACAGTAGACTAGGTTGCGCACATGTAAGTTGCCATGAGCAGAGGAGGAATGGGATACCCGAGGACTTCGGTCGAGAAGGAGGCGAGGAAGGGTACCCACGACTGCTCCGACTTGCGTTGACTAGACAGCGCTGCGTCAACACAGAGCGAAGAGGATGATGGGACGATGTACCAAAGCACTGCGTAGACCACCGGTCGCAGAATATGCAAGATCTCGCCCGTGAGTTGCAGCGGGCCTTCATGACCGGATGCCACGGTCGCGTCCTATTTGCCCTGAGATCGGATTTAGGCAAAGAGAGAGGGTTACCACAAAGGAGAGCGTGAGCGGCTCCTGCGACGACTGACCAGCTACCACAGACGCACGCTGGTAATGCAAGGTCGCAAGTCGCTGATACCTTCGCGGTGGCTCTTGAAGACGCGACCGGAGCGCTGGCCCGTGTACTCGGTCGCGTCTTTCTTGCTTTCGGTGGCTGGCACCTCGCACGTGATGTACTACCCGCGTAGCGCCATGAGTCGTCGTGTACGAGCATGAGTGACATGGCGTACCGTGCCATTCTTGTAGAGCACTTGGCCTTTAGCATGGCCGAGAAGAGCGAGCTTGCAAACGCACTTGCAGATCTCGAGGGCGACGATCTGCACGCAGCGTGAGCTCGCAGAACCAATGCAAAGTACTACGTACGACACGCCACCGCGCATCCGAGCCGCCGGTCTTGAGCGCAATGATCTCGGCCGCCACTTGCACCTGGGCGAGGAGCGACAATGGCACACGCGCAGCCTGCACCAGCGTGCGCGGCGTCTCTTCCGGGTGCACCGCTCGGTACAAGAGGTAGTCGTGGTACAGCTTGAGGAGGCCGCCCATCGAGTAGCCGACCTCCGAGACGACGTCCGGGTTGCCGACGCGCGCGGGCACGAGCATGGGCACGACGTAGAAGACGTTCTCAAGGCGGCGTGCCAGCGACTCATTCTCGAGAACCCATGCGTTGTACTTGTCGAGCGCCGGGATCTTCTGGCTGCTCGTCGTCATCCTCGCGAATGCTCGGATTGCGAAACACGGATTTTTATCAAATCCGGACGCGCGGCCAACGCTACAAATTGCCAAGTGTTTTAATTCCACGAAAGATCACAGGGATTGGTTAAAATACATTGTCCAGCAAATTGTGATTGGCTACATCCCCAGTACATGGCGATTTGATTCGCTGCACCACGTTACAGCATAATTTAGTGTGAGGTCCACGCCAACAACATTGCATCATGCAGCAACATCAGCAAGTCCCAATGCGATTCGAAATGGGATCACGAGAAATTGGCTTGGTCTTCTCGTTGTAGGCTTGCTGTCGGCGCACGCTGATTTATGGTACGGGATCGAGCATTTATAACAGTATTTAAGAATAGAATACACACCAATGATTGGAGGATATTGGCGAATCAAAGCCCGCTGATATTGGCAGGAAAAGCCAACACCATCGATGGCCGACGTCGTCACGACGGCGCCGCTGCGCCAGCTCCTCACGGTGGTGTTTACGACATCAGCGATCCCGTCGAACCCAGCGACAGTCGTCCTCGAAGAGGTCCTTGGCAGCTTTGCCTTCGTACCCGGTCTCGCCGCCTGCGACGTCGTTTTGACCTTTGACGGCTATGTCGCCAAGGACGGCGACGACGTCAAAACCAAGTTCAAGTCGACGCGCATTAGCGCTGAAGAGATTGAAAAGTACGTCGAGTACCAACACAACGCACGCGCAGTCTTTCGCCGCCACCTGCAGCTCACGGACGCGGCCGTCGTCGAGAGCTGCGACGTGGAGTTTCCAATCAAACGGCGTACAACAGCGCGAGCCACGATCCACCGAGAGATGGACCCCTTGACAGGCGCAAGCTTGACGTCGATCATCATGTCCAAGCGCATGGGCTTTGCGTTGGCCGTGCGGGAAGCACTCAAGCAGTACGTTCTATTGTCCCGCGCACATTTGCGTCCTCATTCACTTCTAGTGTCACGACACCATTCGTGCTCATCCACCAGCACGACTGGACCTTCCTCGTGCGCTTGCCGACCGCGAATCTCGAAATTTAATAGTCAGCTTTGCGTAGCATGCGCTCGACCTGCAGGCAGTGTGTGCTGCGATGACCCGACGACCCGAGACGCTCAAGTACGTTGGTTTCCACTCGCGCAAAACCCTCAAGAAGAAGAGCCGACCTGGCTTGCCGCCGCCCGTGGCGGTAAATCTTGGCGGCATCCGCGTCGCGCCACTCTACTTTTGGTACGACAAGCCCCACGTCGCGAGCACAGAGCACTATCGCAGCTTTGTGTTTGGCCACGGGCGCTTCCAGCCCGGCGACTTTATCGAAGACACGCTTGGACATGCGATGCTGGACGACCTCAAGGCGCGTGGCGTGGACGCCCATAGCGAGTACGGCTCGTGGAGCTACGTGCTGGACGACCACGACGACGAGACCGCGACGCTTCGCCACGCCAGCGGCCGTCATTTTCGCGAAGTCGTGCACATGCGGTCCCGTCGCGTGAAGAAAGGCGCCTCCGAGGACGAGCAAACTACATGTCCCGAGTAGCACGTGTAATGAACACGCACACTCTCGTTTGTATCGCTGCGCTCGCAGAACCAGCACTTGACGAGACTTGACGCTTGGTCAAGGGCCACATCTACTAAGAGGGGCTGAACACATACATAATCGGGTTCGGCTTTGCCTCCGTTGACCTCCCGTGACGCTTATTACGTCGACATCAGTGTCAATGTGGTGGGGTTGCAACCAAAAGCGATGCCACACCAGTCTTGTGGCGGGACCCGGTTATCCGGTGTTTCCGGATACGGTGCCACTTGCGAGTTGCGCGTCGGTTCCCGATGGTGGTCCGGGCGTGCGTGGACGGAAAGGTGTGGACAGCCGCCGAGGTACAAGAGCTGCGCGAGACGCACCGCATCGTATGCGGCTCTGGCGGCGTCTGTCGCCACAACAGCAACAAGGCGTCTGAGCACCGACTACCCATGCAGTTGACGCCGGCGCAGTTGTACGTTGGCCGTCTGCACGGCTTTCTCGAGCAAGACGAGCCGACGCCCGCGGTAGTCGACGAGCTGCCTACGGAGGCCATAGCTTCGTGGTGGACACATGCGTGGGACGTGTTCAAGGCCCTCTTTGTCCCGGCGCCAACGATGTACGACCGATTGAATTCGTTCGCCGGCGTGATGTCGTTCATGCTAGCGATGCTCCCAAGACGCCTCAAGCAAAGCGAAGGAAACTCTCGGATCATGATGCAAAGGACTGTGGTGAGATCCGATAAAATATTGCCAAGCATTGACGTCTTGCTAGCTGTAGCCCTTGACGTACCGCTTCACCACCGCGTCTTTGCAGATCTGTGGTCCCAAGGCTTTTACATCACGTCCGGGTCCAAGTTTGGAGGCGACTTTCTCATCTACAACGGTAAGTGCCCCTCACTGCGTAGAGAAGAGCTCATACAAAGATACCCAGCGGACCCCGTGACGACGCATGCGTCGGCCATCATTTTTGTTCTCGCAAGGGCCACGCTCTCGCCACAAGATATCGTTGGGTACGGCCGCCTCGCGCGTGCTGTCAAGAAGAACTGTGTCCTCGCGTACCTCAACCAGCGTCAGTGCCTCAGCTACATGACGCTGACGCACACGTCCACGACGTCCCGCGCCGGCCGACCGCGCGGACCCCACGGTCAGCCATAGACATACTAGTACCGTTTTACAGCTCTTAACGCCCATGGATCCATCATGTTGTCATTAATACAGGCTACTAAGGCAGGGTCGATCGCGCAAATAGCGGAAACATCGACCTTAAGAACATCGTCTGTGGAGTGTCGTCTTGGCTCATAATCACACCGTTCATACCATTGGCACCACATCGACTAAGCTCAATTAGCGAGCTAACTGAACGACTAGCGGTCGCGCTGCAGCATCATGGCCGCATACGCCTGATTCCTCGCCCGGACTCGGTGCTCCTGTGGTGCTCCAAAGACGCTTGTGGCCACCGCGTGGGCTTTACCACCGACTACGCGGCTCGCTTTGGCGGCAGCGAGAGCGGCCTCCAGCGTCCGAATCCGCGCTTCAAGCTCGAAAGCGAGTTGGAAGCAACCATTGCGTCGTGCTCGGCCGTCACGTCACGCAGCACATTTTGAGCCGTGATGGCTTCTTGGGCGACCGCTGCAAGGACTCGTTTGGACTGAAACAGCTGGATTTGGGTGTGTTTGGCGGCCGATGCCATCTCCATTTCGTGCTTTCGTCGACAGTGGGCAAGTGTTGCAGAGCAGTGTGGCCGCTGCAGCGAGACCCTTGATAGCCACGTCCTCGTGTTGGGCGTGGGCCGGTCGTATCCTGGACGCAGCGGCGGTCGAGGTCGCCGCTCTGTCGAGTCCGCGGTGCTCTTGCTGGGGCGTGCTGAACGCGGTGCGGAGCTCGGTCATGTCGCGCTACGCGAGCTCCTCGGTGCGGTGGATCTTGGTATTGTGCAATGCAACCTTGAGGTCAGTACTGGTCTCTATTGCTGCCACGCGCTGAACCCGAGCAGCTTCGTGCATCGCAGCGACTTGGGCATTGAGCTGGGTAATCGTAGTGTGTCTGGCAGCAATACTTCGCGTCGTTGGTTGCAACTGCTGACTGCAGCGCCTTTCGAGCCTTTCACCCTCTCCGAGCCCATCAGGATGTATCTATCCATCCGAGAAATGGGCTGCGACTAGACTATGGAAAGCACGTGCAACAAGGACACTGCATCCAAACACATTGCAGAACCGGAAACCTTTCACCCGCGCGGCAACCCATACAGAGACTGGTAGATCATGCCACGAATCCAAACGGTTGGTGTACAAGAACTCGTCTTTCTCGCTAGTCCCATCATACGAATCCGATATCGAAGCGCTTGCTCGCAGAGCCGCTCAGCATCGTTGCGTCTCCTGACAAGCCACAATTGTATCCGGACATTCTTATCCGGACAAGATCGACAGCATGGTGCGCGCCCATCGAGACGGATCGACTTTTGAGGTTTTTCATAGAGTCTCGTGTTTCGTTCTATATGTATAGAGCATGACACAGGGAGTCCAAAAACCAAAGAATCGTGCTCGTAGCGCACCCACAACGTGCGCTATGCGCTGTGTGAGTGTATGTATACATACCGATACATTGATACATTGATACTGAGCTCAGTATCAGTTCTCAACAACTTGAATGTCAC